AGAAACTTATTCTTAGGTGGAGAAGATAAGAGTGTGTTTGAATTATTCCAACGAGGTAAGAAGTCATCCACTCCATCAGAACAGTCGCGAGAACAAGAAGAAGAACAACCGAGGGCATCTTTCTGGTCAAGACGACAGGTTGAAGCAAGAAGCAGAAGCCACTCACCAGAAGAAAGAGCAAGAGGTAATCAAATGAACAGAAGACAATTAGAAACAAGAAGCAGGAGCAACTCACCCCAAGAAATAGCACGAGGTAGTGAATGGACGAGGGAACAAATGGAAACAAGAAGTAGGAGCAGAAGCCCAGAAAGCACAAATACAAAAAGTAGCCGAGGCAAGAAGAAAAAATAAAACTACTTAAAGAGAAAACGTGATAATGTAGTAAAAATGACAGGAATTTTCATTAATGATAATAGAAAACAGAGAATAGCGAATGACGAATTTGATGTAATGGTTGAACTTATGAAAGCGGAAAACGACTTAGTCTTACAGAGGATGAGCGAGAAGGTTAGCGAGAGCGACGACCAACTAATGAGATGGAAGGACGACCAGAAGACCTACCACCAGAACTACTACAACAAAAACCTAAAACAGCCTTACACCTGCGAGGACTGCGGAAGGACGATATCAAGCAAGTCCAACCTATCCAAACAAGAAAAGCAATGTATGCAATAAAAACAAAAAAAACCTTTATGAATGGATAATTCATTAATCTTATTAAAACTCATTAATAAGATTAATGCGTTGAGTTTCAACCCGGAGCCCAGTTTCTCCAACAGGCAACCCCTACCCAAAACTACTTAAAGAAATATTTACTATATATAATATAGAGTATAGATATATGGTGTCAGTGTCAGAGGAAAAAATCATAGATTTCATTATAAAAAGTCATCAAGGTGAACTAATACAAAAAGAAGGGAAACAAACACAAAAACTCAAAATAGGAGACAAGACCTACAGATATAGTAAGAACAAACCCGCTTCGAAGGTGTTGAATACCAGACTAAAGGAAGTGGCGAGAAGCGACGGCTTCAGAAAACATAGTCTTCTAATGAAAGGGGCTAGCTTCATCAAACTCACACGAGGAAGACCCTTACAGGATTATGTCAAGCGTTTCAAATCCAAAATCACAAATGAACAGCAAGCCTTCAAAGGTTACGCCAACACATATTCAGTTAGTGATATAAGATTGAAAGGGTTGAAAGGCTTATCATACTTAAAATATCAGAAGCAACGAATGGTGGAATTCCTTAACAGAAACCCGAATATGAAAATCATTGTTGAAGTGGATTTGGCGTTAAAGAACACTGACAACGAAGAGATACGACGAAGGCTGCGAAGCAGGAGATACAATGTCCATAACCCTGAAGAGATAAACAGTGTTTTAAACAACATAGCCCACGACATAGAGGTTCAAATTGAGATAGCCGAATTAACTCAATCGGGGTTGGTTCTTCTTCAAGTTCAAAGTCTGGTGATAAGTTATGACAGATACAATCCTACCCGTGGCTCTTCTTATACTCCATTGCCCGACTGGGTGGCAAACAAAAAGGCTTGTATCAATATTAAAAACGATGATGAGTTGTGTTTCAAATATTCCGTTCAATGTGGTTTTTATGAGATATACAAAAAAGACCATCCCTGTGATATGTATCATTATAAAAAGTATGTTGATGACCCGACGAAGAAAGGCACCAAAGGTGACAAGTTTATTAATTGGGACAATATAAACTTTCCTGTAGGCAATGATGAGATTGAACAATTTGAAGAACAGAACAAACACATATCGGTCAATGTTTATTACATTAATCCTGATACCAATAGTAAAACAATTTATACAAAAGAAGCAACAACCCCCAAGCACAGCAAAAGATTGATTTAATAAAGTTGACTGGAGAAAATGCCAACTCGCACTATGTTTACATCAAGAACTATAACAAGCTGATGGGAAGCCAAACCAACAAAACAAATAGGAAAAAACATCATTGTAGGACGTGCTCACACGGTTTCAAGTCAGAAGAGTTATTAAAACAACACGAAGAACAGGGTTGTCTAGCGGTTGAAGGACAACAAATAGAAATGCCAGAGGTAGGAGCTACCATTGAAGTTAAGAACCATTTTAAGAAACTGAAAGCACCTTATGTAATATATGCCGACTTTGAATGTTTAACAGTGCCCATTGATGTTAAAAGCAAATCGACAAAAGCGACAACAACATCATATCAAAATCATCGCCCTTGTGGTTTTATGATTAATGTAGTCAATGCCATCACTGGAAGCAGTGAGCCCTATTTATACAGGGGCGAAGATTGTATGGATAAGTTCCTTGAGAAAATGAATGAAGTCAGAGATGATGTAATAAAGAAAATGAAGGAAGTGAAAGAGATAATCATGACTGAGGACGATAAAACAGATTTTGACACTGCTACTAAGTGTTTCGTTTGTGGAAAGGGCTTTCAGGAAGGAGATAAGAAGGTTCGTGACCATTGCCATTTTACTGGTAAATATAGAGGTTGTGCTCATGATGATTGTAATCTTGCTTTTAGTATGAGATATTACAAAATACCAGTCTTTCTTCACAACCTGAAAAACTATGACGCTCACTTAATCATCAACAAGTCACACGAACTGAGCAAGAATGCTAAAATCGATTGCATCGCACAGAACAGCGAGAAGTTCATAACCTTTGGTTTTAAAAACCTTTGTTTCAAGGACAGTTTTAGCTTCTTATCGTCTTCGTTGGATAAGTTGGTAAAGTTGAGTAAGTATGAAGATGACAAAAGGCGTGAGAACTGGAAGAACAATTTTAGATACAGTGTTAGAAATCCATATGTTAAAACCGATGAAGATTTGGACTTGTTGACTGATAAGGGGATTTATCCTTATGACTATTTTGATAGTTTTGACAGATTTACTGAAAGAAACTTACCGCCAAAAGAAGCGTTCTACAGTAAATTAAGTGAGGAACATGTCAATGACAAAGATTATGAAAGGGCACAAAAGGTTTGGAAACACTTCGGTATTAGAACATTAGGACAATATCACGATTTGTATTTGAGAACCGATGTTTTATTATTGACTGATGTGTTTGAAAATTTTAGAGACTTATGTATGGAATACTACGGTTTGGACCCCGCACACTATTATACGCTTCCTAACTTCGCTTGGGAAGCTATGTTGTTGAAAACTGGTGTTGAAATTGAGCAGTTGCACGATAAAGAAATGTATGAGATGGTTGAACAGGGAATGCGAGGAGGTATGTGTCAGGTCAGTCATAAACTGGCTGTGGCTAACAATAAGTATATGGATGAAGCCTTTGATGAAAACAAGCCATCAAGTTATATCAATTTCTTAGATGCTAACAATCTGTATGGTCTGGCGATGTCTCAAAAATTGCCTTTAAAGAACATCAAATGGGCAAAGAAAACACCTAACATTGAAAAGTGGGATGAAAAAGATGAGTACGGTTTCATCCTTGAAGTGAATTTGGATTATCCAGAAACACTACACGACTACCATTCGGACTATCCACTAGGACCGGAAATAATGAATGTCAATGCTAACATGCTTTCAGACTATCAAAAGGAAATCTACAAAATCTACTATGGAAACAAAGAACCGAAGGACGAGAAAACCAGCAAGTTAATATTAAATTTGAAAGATAAAGAAAAATATGTGGTTCATATCAAGACTTTACAGTATTATCTAAAAATGGGTATGAAACTCACCAAGGTTCATAGGATAATAAAATTTCAATAGAGGGCTTGGTTGAAACCGTGGATTGACTTCAACACTGGTAAGAGGAAAGAAGTATTGTTTTGAAAACCCTTGAAATCATCGACTACTTCAAACCGAAGTGGTGGGTCATTGAAAACCCTGCAACTGGACTTTTGAAGGAACAACCCTTTATGAGTGGTCTAAAATATTATGATGTGGATTACTGTAAATATGGTATGAACTACAGAAAGCGGACGAGGTTGTGGTCAAACATTGAAACATGGAAACCCAGACCATTATGCAAAAGGGATTGTGGCAAGATAAGAAATGGAAAACATCTTGAAACTGCCCAACGATTGCCCAATGGTAAAAAGGTTGATTGGGGTGATGGATACATCAGTCATAAACAAGATGAGTTGTATAAGATACCTACTGATTTGATTAGTGATATATTTGTTAGTTTGTTTTAGCCCAGCATCACCAGCAACCAGCATCACCAACATAGATATCCTAAAGAATATGAAGTAGATACTGTCCCTCTTCCCCTTTCCCCCTTTTTTGGGGTAATGTTCCCCCTTTCCCCCTCTTTTGGGGGAATGTTCCCCCTTTCCCCCTCTTTTGGGGGAATGTTCCCCCTTTCCCCCTCTTTTGGGGGAATGTTCCCCCTCTTTTGGGGGGAATGTTCCCCCTCTTTTGGGGGAATGCTGTTTGACAGGCTTGGCAAACACAGAAACATATTTTCCCGCTCTTGCCACCGCTCTTTGTGATAATGCAACCATAGATAATTTATCTGATGTAATGATAGCGGCGCATCAAAAAATATACAGTTGTATTGATGATGAAAGAAGTAGAATGAATTTTGAAGGAGTACAAAACATAAGGTTTAAACTAATTGTTGATGAACCTGTGTAATTCATAACTAAACCATAATTATATCATTTATATTCTTATATGTTATAATTATAGTGAACTTTTAACCTATAAACATTTCATTAAATGACAAACCAGAAGACCCGCCCAAAAGCCAACCCATGAATCCACAGAAAGTCCTATCCTCTTTCAATCAATAAAACTAAAAGTTGAAATCTGGAACGTAACAGGGGACCAAATCATCAATTCGTTACCACATCCATATCGTTATTTCTTGGCCCCAGAACCAGCCTTTTAAAAACAAATAAGGTGGTACACGTGTTGAATTGTGAAATAAAAAACAGAACAGGCAACCATCTACCCCCCACCCCCTAGGACCAGCCTTTTCTACATTTTTTCCCCTGCCCCCTCTCCTCCGCGCGCTTGCGCGAGGCCGGGCAGGTGATGGACCGGTGCGAAGAGCGGTAGCCCAGACGGGTGGCTGGGTGGTGCCAGCCCACTCCTAGAGTCCTCAGAGAAAAGCGAAGACAACCAAGCACCGAGTTGTTCTTTGACCTTCAACAGGATTTTTCACCATGTTGCTGCTTCCTCAAAAGCAGATGTGTGTCAGCAGGTTAAAGGGTTGTAAAGGTCAAACTCTGCCTTTTTGTGTGCGAAAGTGTTAGTACTGCGTAGTGGTTCAGCAGTCAGCATCAGATTGGAAAGCTTCAAACAAACACCACCTTACGTGAGCAAGCGAGTTGCGCAGTCTCCCCGTTGTTGAGGTGTTTCTTAGATAGCGATTTGTGAATTAAAGTGTAGGCAAATACACGTTTTGTCTGCCAGGTTTTGATTACACTGGCACTTGCGAGGTTCCAATCTTGCCTGCAGAAGTCCATCCAGGTGGATGGAGTCTTGTGTGTGTGTGTGCGGCTTACCTCAGCAAGTCTTTTGGTTGGCTTGGTCAATTCATTGGCGAGGAAGGCTTATGGCTGAAGGCTGATTGGGCCTTGGAAGCAGCAGAAGCTCAGGCGATTCCCCGAAGATTCCGACCGCAAGGCAGAAATTACATTGTTCAACTTCTCTCCTTGAAATATTTGAGGAATCAACTGTCCCCCGGATGCAAGGCTGACAACTTGGCTGCTTTTTGGTTGGATCCTTTAGACGTTAACTTCTGGTACATGAATAAACGAGCTTTCTGCAATGGGGATTTAGCCATCCAGTTGAACAAGTCAAACAAACCCAACCCAGGAAGCTGACTTGGTTCGAAGCTCCAAGCCACAAAAGAAGACACTTCTGGAAATTACTTCTTGGTGAAATCCCGGCCTGCGTCAAGAGACGCCTGAATCTCAGGTCACCTTATCCCGCAGCAAAGGGGGGATCCCGGTTACCTTTGTTTCCTTTAGAGTTGACGATGAACTTTAAGGGCATGATTTATCAAATTGCATTGCCAGCTAAGGTAATTCTTGCTCCAATTAAAACTGCCATGACCAGCCTCAAATTCTCACTTTGGACACAGTTGCAGAACCTCCTTTTGCGTGGGGCTGGAAGCGAAAAAGGAAAGCAACAGCACAACGGGCGCCTGTAGTCGATGCCGCTGCGCACCGCCTGCTCCGCCAGCTGACGAAGCGCCTTGACCCAAGCGTCCTGTTTCGAGCTCAGCGGCGCCAGCTTCTCGGCCTGGGGAAGGCCCAGCCAAACAATACGGTTACATAAAGAAACAAGAGAGGAGATGACAAATAAGCAAATAAGAAAAACAAAGAAGCAAACACAGCGTCAAACAGTGACAACAAATGACAACCAACCAGCCAGCCAGCCAACCAACACAAAACAAACAAAGAAAAACAAATACACAAGCCAGCAAGCAAGCAATCAAGCAGGCAGGCAGGCAAGCGAGCCACCAAGAAAACACCCAAACAGGTCTGCCACTTGCTGCGGACACTCCTCCCAGTGGTTGGTGGACATTTCAGGCCCAAGTAAGTTATCTCCGCAAAGGGGTTGTCTTGGAGGAAAGAGAGAAGGATGCCCAACAATTTGCGCATACAAGCTGACTGCACGGTAGTAAATAGTTACCCCACATAGCGTCGCCATATCCCTAATCACCCCAAGCAAAAAGAAGGACCCACGGCGCCGGCTTTACTTTTTGGGCCTCAAAAAGCAGAAAAAAGGGCATCACGTCACTGCAATGTCGTTGCGTAGCCTCTTTGTAAGCTTGCAGGTGCCTCCACCTCCAGCAGCGTCGCCAACTGCTGCAGCTCCGCCTCCATGAGCGACGTGGCCAGCACCAGCGGGCCAAGCCACGATGCAGGGGCGGGGGCCTTTCTTTCCTTGTGTTGGGCATAGGGAAGGAAGGAACCTCCATGGCGGAATTCACCCTAATTTTCGGGATCGGCTGCATGCGTGTGGCTTTCCGGCTTGCTTCTCGTGCACAGTGGCAGCCTGAGCGGTGTCTAGCGCAGGTGTGCCGGGATCGGTGTCGATGGGAAGCATGAGGATGAGGCTAGGTCGGTTGAACGGGTGGCCGCTGTATGCCAGTTGCCCTACTGCACAAAATGCTGCGCTTGGCTTTGAGCACAGAGAGCTGACATCCATCCACAGCAGCGCACCTTGCCTCCCCCCCCCCATTCCTCTCCCCAGCCATCCATCCCGCCTCACATGGCGGCATCCGACTTGCGGCGCTTGGCCGCCGGCTCCTCAAACGGGATCCACAGGGAGCAAACGCCGGCTACGCCGAGGTTCTGAGAAAAACCTCCACGAGAGAGAGCGCAATCCCCTTGCGCGGTGTGACCATTGGACCTTTAGACCTCCTACAAAATGTATGGAAAAATCAAAAGTTTACATGTCAAACAAACAACGACTTAGAGCTAGGACGCAAACTGCTTTCGGCTAAATTCACAACAAACAAAATATTCAATCTGACCTTGACACACTCACAGAAGAAGGCGAAGCACGCTAGATTTGCTTCGTCTCGCGCAAGTCCAGGTCTCCTGTGCTGGAGGTCTCTCGAAGCCTGTCGCATCCATCTGCATTTTGGGACAAGTCTTGCACAACATCTGGAACACCATCACACTGGGCGCTCTGAAGCCCCACCACTTTGCAGGCACATCCACAACTAGGCAACAGCTGCGCTTGCCACGGCAAGTAGACCTATGGCACCCCCGCCTGCGCCGGAGCGCATTGGTGTGGGCGTAAACCTCAGGCCAGTCTGCGCGATGAGAAGTCAACCGTCCCTTCAAAGGCAAGGACTCCCCCCGCACGCCTTCCAAAAACATAGCGCCCGCATCTGTGCGCCGCGCCGGACAAACTTCAACCAGGGGTGGTTGAGAGCCTGCGCGGATCGGACCATTTGACACACGCGCAGACGCATGGGGCTGCAATACATCACAGAATATACACATTGTACGCACATATTCCACATGTTCCTGGCGAGGATATTGAACAAGAAGTTCTGAAAGCAGTTCTGTGGCGACGATTCTCCAAAGCCTTGAAAAAGGTCAAAATTATGTTTTTACTCATCTTTGTGTTGGGGCATGCAAAGATTCAATCAGTAAAGAAACAAAACAATGGTAAGCTCCAGGCCAGATCAAGGTTGGTAGGGGATAATCCCGTGGTGATTCCAACACGCTCCCTTTTCGCAGGCAAAACCCTTTCATACGGGACACGGTTGCAGGGTGTTCGTTTGCCCGGGTTCCTCAACATCCCCAGCATCGCTTTTGCATCCTCAGCAATAGCAGCGAAACATGAAAAGGTCCCTATTCAGACACTACGGTTTCGCGCTTTTGAACCATTCGCATTTCAAGACTTCAAGCCGTGAAGATGCTAAGCCACTCAGATTCGAAGATTTTAAGCCATTCTGCTTTACAGGTGAAGCCACTAAGATTTTAAGACTTTACACAAGCCATTAAGATGTTGAAGGGCTGAAGCCCTTTTTGTGGTTTTCAGTCACTGACATGTTCAGGTCTGAAGCCATGAAGATTCTACGAATTTAGGCCTTAAGGCTTTGAGACTTTAAGCCAATAAAGTTGAAGGTGTTAAGCCACCAGGAATTTCAGATTTTAACCCATTCAGATGTCAAGGGTTCTAAGCCATTGGGATTGTTGAGCCTTGAACCCATTAAGATGCTAAGGTCTTATTCCATTGACTTTAAGCCTTTAGATTTTAACACGTTATGGCACTGAGAGTCGAAGAGTTTAAGCTATTAAGACTTTTCAGGGTTTGATCCAGTAAGATTCTATATAGGGTGTTCAGCCACTAATATGTTCAGATGTTAGGCTGTTCAGATCTTAAAGCCAATTCAGATTCGAAGGTTTCAAGCCATTCAGTTTTGAGATTTTAAGCTATTGAGATGCTGAGACTGTTAGCCACTAAGGTCACGCAGGCTATAGGATTTAAGCCACTAAGGTTGTTGTGCGTTTAAACCCATTGAGAGTTTGATGTGTTCAGCCAGTAATAGACAAATATGTTAAGCCACCATAAATATGTTACTCTTTTAAGCCATGAAATGTTTAAGTTGTTGAGCCATTAGGACTTTAAGGCTTGAAGCCGAAGACTTTAACACGCTAAGACGTTAAGCCATTAAGGGCTTTTCAATTTTTCATCTATGAAGATTTTAGGGTGCGTGTGTGTGTGTGTTAAGATAGTAATATCTTAAACCTTCAGGCCATCAAGATTTAAGATTGAATACGATTCTTTAATCTTAAGAAATGCAAACAAAGCAATGTCAATCATAGCTTCAAAGTTTGTTTGCTGTCCGGAGCAAAGTCTCTGTCTGAGAGCTGTGTCCGTCTTCAAGTCCACGCAAATTCAAATTTTAAGAAACAACTCAGTAAACGCAGTTCCTAAAAGCCTGGAGCAGTCCCTGAAAAACCTGAAGAATTCCAAACACATCCACACGCGTTATTTTTTCTTTTTTACATGATTGTTGTTTCATGGACTCTCCAGTTTTTCATTTGCCCAGGCCCCAAGTGAGTTTAGGGGCCTTGTGGGCCCACAAGCCTCTGAGGCCCTTGGTCCCCTGAAGCCGCAGCCACTTGAGGCGCTAGGAGCCTGTTGATGGGGTCTCCCAGATGCCCAGAAACGCAGAAGAGCTATGGAGTTGTCAAAGAGTTGCGAGACATTTCGAGAAGCTTCGAGCACATTGGATTGCGTCCAATTCAGTGGCAAGGTTCCAGGAGGCTGTTTGATAATTTGAGGGGAAGGCTTCCGGCGATGGTTGGGAATACCACTTGCGCATATGCTTGCTCATGTGTTCTTTTCTCTGCGCCAGATTGCAAGGCGCTCCCTACTCAGATTCATCACCTTCGTGAAAGCTCGAATTTGCCTGCTGGATGTTGATGCGCTTGCTGGGGCTCACCGTCATCATCTGCTGCACCAGTTCCTTTGCCTCACGTCAAGGGCAAGATCCCCCGGCGTTAATAGATCGGGAAAAAAGAAAGAAAGAAAGAAAGAAAGAAAGAAAGAATTAATGAACAAAAGAAAGAATGAAACGCCGACGTCCTACAATTTGGTCACTTTTTAATGGGCTGTGGGCGGGTTCAATCGATTCGTTTTTGTCCGCTGAGATCCGTGAACCAATGCAGGCAAATGCCTCACAGGGCCAAAAGCCCAGGGCGTGGCTCATAAGAGCAGCTTCCCACGATCCCGCACATAAAGCACCACACGAGTCGCTCCAGCCAGCCTCCGGGGACACACAGGTCCACTCCTGCACCTGAAGGCCGAAGCTCGAAGCCGGGCAAGGAAGCCAAATTAAATTCACATAAGGGACGGCGATGGGTGAAACAGTGAAGCAGAAACCAAGTTTGCCAAGTAAACAATTCACAGAGCCTGCAAAAGTGCGACGACCTTCCTCTTGTTCCAGTGCGGTTTTAAAAAACTGCCGGCCCCGACGTCGAACTCATAGCGACCCTCCACGATCTGGTTGTAAAGGCCCTCCTCCTGAAAGCACCATGGGGAAAATAACAACTCAAATCACGGTCTGGCCCTTGGTATCCCCCGGGGCCGCATAGTGAGACTCACGTTGTCCTGGTCATAGAAAACCGCGAAATTCATTGCGTCTGGGCGGGAAAACAGACTTAACATCTTCAAGGGTTGCATCAGATTAAGCGCATCGTGGCCCTCGTTTGTAGTCCGCCTAATGAAAACCTGGGCTTCCGCGGGAAAATCGTCCAGTCACGAAGCCAGTTCCTCATACCGGAGCCAACTACGATTGGGGGGGGACTGGGCGCTCATTGTCATGGATCGGCCTGTGCGGGCCGCTGCGTATGACTACCACGATTGAGGCTGGAAATGGGGGCCCAAAGAGGCCCGCAGCCAGAATACACACCCAGGATATTTCTGGTGGATGTCCAAGACAAGGCTTGGCAAGCGCAAACCAATGGAAAACCAAGGAGCGCGCAAAGCAAGGTGGTTTGTCTCTTGCGTATGGCTGAGAAAAGTCCAGGAGTCCAGGCCTTGAGCCAATATGGGATGCACAAAAGGCATTGCATGTGGCTTCACATGTTGCAAGCAACAACAAACACTCCACCCCACCCCCGCTTGGAGAGCTCGTCTGACAAGTCGTTGGGGATGAGCCGAGCACATTAATTGTCTGCCGCAGAACCCCAAGCCCAAGAATTAAAAGACGCAGTCAAGGGAACTTGTCAGGAACGGTGGATGCCGCAACGGTGGATTGCAGCTGTGTCCCTCCTTTAGAACTCTTCCAGGCGCAACCTAAGCGGAAGGTTTTGGCCGTGGGCTTGTATCCCGAGAACGCTGCTTTCTGCTCCCGACTCCAACCCCTGCTCCCGAGAACAGGAACCAGATCTCCTCACGTCTGACCGCGGCACATTTGGCCAAAGCCATTCCGCCCGCTTGCCCTGTGGGTCCTCGAATGGTGGGGTACTGCTCAGGAGGATGTACAAGATCACCCCCAGGCTCCACCTCACAATGTGTCAGTGTTACCTAGATTTCAAACATCACCAAACTCAATCCAAGTCTGCAACCAAAACAGTGATGTTTCACCTACCCAAACCGCGCGATCCTGGATCGCCAGCTGCGCCTCCCTGTTTTAAATTGTGACTGTGAGGGCGGGGTGGATGAAACAAAGCAGAAATTTGGGTTCTCACGCCGTGCTCAGCACTGTGAGCTACGAACAACGGGTCGCGGGCATGTCCACCTCCTTGCCGTACCCTGCTTTGGTATTCGTATCCCTGCCGCGCCCAGGTCTCACTCTCCACGATTTCACTGAATGAATCTCCCTTCCCTCAGGGGCGTGAAAACCAGCGACTTTTTTGGGTTGGCTTCCTTGACACACTGACAAAAAACCAAGCCATGCCAAGCCAGCGTGAATGTGGTGATCACCTCCGGGGCGAAGTAGTGGGGCCTGGATCCGAGAAGTTCGAGTTCGGTCGGAGACAACCCCACAGGTTTCGCCTTTCGGCCGCTCGTATGGCGCACGAAGCGAGGCCCTTTTGCGGAGCCGCCGGATCCCGGCACACACACACACACACACACACCTCAGTCTCCATTGCCCTTTCAGCGCCCGTTCTCGGAGCCGAGAAGCTAGGGAGAAGCCGACCCGATCCTGGTTGACTGTAAACTTGGAGTTCCACAAAGTGGCTCACTTGGCCATGCAAGGGACGGGCTCTGCCGCTGAGATCTCCTCACTCTGGACAGAGGGCATGGGGGAGGGTGGTCTTTTTGGGGCACCTCAACAAAGCTTCTAGCCTCAACACAGATCAAAAAGCTCTGGACAAAGGCACATCCCATCGAGCTTGACCACTCACTCCGCCTAGAAAGACGTGCAGGGATCACTTGGGCACGGGAGAGATGGGCTCACGGCTTCCTTTGTTTGCTGGCATCGGTAGAAGGAAAAGCATACCGCAGCCGTGAACCCGTCCAAGACTGCACAGCTCCAGAGCCGAGGTATGCTCTATACAGGCCAGAAAAAGCCGGCCGGTAATGTCGCCCAAGTTTGTATTTGGCGATGGTAATTGCATTATGCGTGCTTGTTGGCATCCAAAGCGTCCTTGCTACTCGGTGTTGCTCCATGCACACTGCCCAGCTGACAGCAACAATTGTGTTCATACGCCCCCATCAACTACATTGGAAAAGCCCTGGTCAAGACTCAATCTCAACACCTAGGACATCTCCTTTAAAGGAAACTTTGGTTGGTATATGAATTGATGCAAGCCTCTCACATTACTTCACAGCTCTCGCAGGAGACTCGATCTGCGAGCGAGACTCGATCTGCGAGCGAGTCTCACAAACCAATTGCCTTGCTATTCAGAGTGTCTTGTCTGGTAGTCTCGACTGGCGAAATCGGTTCTGTCTGCTTGCTCAACTGCAGGAAAACAAAACAAGCCGCCCTTTTAGGACCTACCCAACCCCCCAAATGAGAAGTGAACCCTTCAATCACCCTGTGAGCCGGCAGTTGGCATTCTGGCTCGTTCAGTGCGGCTCTTTGTGGTGCCTTCTTGCCATGTTGTAGTCCCCTTATATGTTCTGCTTCCCTCAGGAAGTTAGACCAACCCCCAAAAACGTGCCACCGACCTGCCATGCTGTATGTTGTTCAGCCGTGATTGCCGCATTGTTCGGCTTGCGTTTGGGAAAGCTTCTTCGGAAAGCCAACAAGGCAAAGCGGAGCCCCTTGTTACAGAAATGGAACTCCTTTGGGAACCTCTCTTGAGGCTGTTGCGGTCTGTAAAACTGAAAACGGAAACCCGAATTGGATTGCGGTTGCTTGAACCCTGTTTGTGCCACCTTAGACTGGTTGCCAAGGTTCTCATTGAAAGTTGAACATCCCAAAAGGGAGACAGACCGATTTGGGCGTGTCTTTTGAGGGCAACACTTGCGTCCAAAAGAGGAACCCCAAAGAAAGATGCGGCTCCGACCGTGCAGCACCGTCCTGTCATCTGCTTGAGCTCTGCCAGCACCTCCTCTGCGCTGGGCCGCTGCTCCCGCTGCACCGCCCAGCACCGGACCATGAGGCCTCAGGCACGGCACGCGGCACGGGCCATGGACCCACACCGTCGATTTCGCGGCACCGCGAGCCAAATGTTGGGAATGTTTGATCATGCGGTTGTTAGGCCATTCCGGATACTGAAAGGAAAAGGGATCCAGAAGGCGTGAAAGTCTAAATTCGGCCACATGCTGCTTGTCGCCAAAGACCGGGGCCCAGCCTCTGAGCGCCCTGTGGCAGTCTTCCACCACAGGCCGTGGCTCCTTGCCTTTCACGAACTGATCCAGCAAGTCCTTGCGCGGGATTCCGGAACCCCAAGTTGAGTCACAATGCAAGCCAGGTAGTGAAGTGGGAGAACAACGAGAACAGTGGGGTCGAGGCAAACATCCAAATGAGATCGGTGAAATCGGTAAAATCGGTGTGGGTCCACGTGTCTGCGTGTCTGTGTGTCTGTGTGTCTGTGTGTCTGTGTGTCTGTGTGTCTGTGTGTCTGTGTGTCTGTGTGTCTGTGTGTCTGTGTGTCTGTGTGTCTGTGTGTCTGTGTGTCTGTGTGTCTGTGAGTCTGCGTCTGTGGCTCTTTGTCTGCGTGTTCGTGTGTTCGTGTGTCCGTGTGTCTTTCTTTCTGTGTGTCTGTGTGTGTGTGTCTGGGTGTCTGGGTGTCTGGGTGTCTGTGTCCGCGTGTCTGCGTGTCTGCGAGTCAGCGTATCTACGTACCTGCGTGCTTGTTGTGTTTGTCTGGTTATTGCGCTTGTGTGTTTGTGCGCTTGTGCGTTTGTATGTTTGTTTGTTTGTTTGTTTGTTTGTTTGTTTGCTCGCCTGCTTGCTTGCTTGCTTGCTTGCTTGCTTGCTTGCTTGCTTGCTTGCTTGCTTGCTTGCTTGCTTGCTTGCTTGCTTGCTTGCTTGCTTGTTTGGCTTGCGTGGC